GTGGCATCACAGTTCACAGCAACCTTAAACTCTTGGGCTTAAGTGATTCTCTTGCCTCAGCCTAACAAGTAGCTGGGACTACAGGAACCCTCCACAATGCCCAGCTATTTTCTTTTTATTCTTCTTGTTGTTGTTGTCATTGCTGTTAAGCAGGGCCTGGCAGGGTTCAAAACTGCCAGTCTTGGTGTATGTGGCTGGCACCCTAACCACTGAATTACGGGCTCAGAGCCTAATGGGAATATTTGGTCCATGTGCTCTCGTACTCCACTCCACTCCTGCCTTTGAGGCTATGGAATTTTCCACCCGAGGATGTTAGAAATGAAAGGAGTGGTTAATAGCATTAAGGGCTGGCAGAACCCAGTATCTCTGACACTTCCTCCCGTGTGCTGCTGAGCCAAATTACTTAATCTCCTTGCTCCTTGGTTTCCCTGTCTGTAAAATTGGGAAGAAAAGTACTGACTTCACTGCATTGTCCTTATGAAGAAATGAGGTTAAAAAAAAAAAAAAACATGAAAAGGGCGAAGTTCAAAATTAGGAGACTAATATGTTGGCGCTATATTTATTCTTGTGGGTGTTAAAGTTGTTTCTAACTTTCCACTCTTAGATAAGTGCAAAGTCCTGAAATAGGCTACCAGTTAACCTACCTGTAAAATAGGGGAAATTATTCTTTTTTTTTTCTGAAGGATGTGAGGATTCAGGGACTGCTGTGCCTAATATCTATAAGCACTGAGTCAGTGACAGTTCTGTTCCCTGAACCTAGTGGACAAATGTTCTCCTTTGTAACTGCTACATCTTCCCTAATGTTGTTGTTGTTGTTACAACTTTATTGAAATATAATTCACACACCATATAATTCACCCCCTTAAAGTATAATCCATTTCAAGTTATTCACAGAATTGTGCAATCATCGTCATTTATTTTATTTTATATGTTTTGAGACATAATCTCACTCTTTTTATTTTTTTATTTTTTGAGACACAGTCTCACTTTGTCACCCCTAGTAGAGTGCCATGGCATCAAAGCTCACAGCAACCTCAGATTTTTGGGCTCAAGCAATTCTCTTGTCTTAGCCTCCCAAGTAGCTGGGACTACAGGCTCCCACCACAACACCAAGCTATTTTTAGAGACAGTGTCTCACTCTAACTCAGGCTGGTCTCGAACTTGTGAGCTCAGGCGATCAGCCCACCTCGG